TACCAGTGTCCAGTTTGTTTCCAGTGTGGATTGACCGTCAGAAAAAGTCGTTGGCATTTTGTTTCTCCTCGTTTTTCTTTCAATTTAAAAAACAGCCTTACAGGACAAAATCTGACGTTTCAATTGTTTTTGACTAACCATTTGGGATAGGCAAATTTTTTATCGCCTCCTTGTGTGGTTTTTGCAAATACAGGATTGTACTCAATTCTGCCAGTTTTTCCCCGTTGATGTGCAATTCTTCTTTAAAAACGCCCATTTGTGCTCGTGCGCCTTCGCCTCCTCTCCAAGCAAGTTCATAGGAAAGAGAAAGAAATACGTTTTTCTGCAGTCCTTCGGGGGTTTCTTCATTACAACTAGTAATCAGCTTTTTCAATTCATTAAAAGGTAGGAAACTCGCAGATTGCTTACGTTTATTTTCACAACCTTGTAATTCTCTTCGTTTTGCATTTCTTGCATCTCGCGCTGATTTAAATTCGATTTGCTCAAACGGATTTATTTTTGTTCCATACCCCTTAAAACATTTCTCCATCAATAGACTAGCTGTGACGTTCCAGATGGTTTTAACAGTGTGTTCTTTGTATTCCTCTCCATTTTGTTAACGCATGTTGTAAACCCAGCTTTTTAAAATAGATGCAAGTTCCGAGATTGGAGTATCTCGATCCATGTTATAATGTTTTTCCGCACGAAAAGATATAAATTGTTTCCAAATGTACTTCTTACTTTTTGCGGTGTTTGTCGACCTTTTTTGCCCTATGGCGTTGCTATGGATGAGTAAAATAATCAAAATAACTTGTGAATTTACATCTACAGAACGTTTTTCAATAAAATCGAATAAAAAACGAAAATTTCTACCACATACTTATATTAAATTCGATCGCTAACTTTCAAGAGAATAATAATTCAAATAAATGCAAAAGGCATTTTTAAGCATCTTACGCTCCTTAAGCAAACATTTTAATAAATAACTTCAATTGAAAAATGCAATAATTGAATTTAAAAAAGCAATGTTTTAGGTATTTTGCAAGTGCATCATCATAATCTTCAAAAATTAGCTGTGGAGTTTCCTCGTTTCGTTCATAGCAGCAACTGCATCACGAACAAAGGAATTATTCTATAGAGAACAAGTTCTATTAAATTCAGATTAGCGTGTTGAACCTAATTTGAAAAATAGAGGAAATACATCAAAATATTTTAGAAAAGTTAATGCACTCCAATTTTTCGCTGTATTTCATACGAAGACAAAACTCGGGTTTGGTTTGTGTGTACAAATTAATTTAAAAATATAAGTACAAGATTTACGAACTGTAAATTAGATTAGCGCATTAAATGTTCTTTCAATTTTCCTTGAATGTAAATCACCGTGTTAAATAATGTACTCAATGGGAGCAAAAGGATCTCGGAAAAAGGAAAATGTTTAAGAATAAATCTTACACAGTCCTTACCATCAAACTTTTGGAACTTCTACACAGAAACCTGCGAATGTTTAAAGAAAATCAAACTTTTATTCTGGGAAAAAACGCATAATCATCCAAACTAAATATAGGTATATTTGGTAGATGAAAAAGGTAACCAAAGAGTAAAAACTTACATATAATATTTACAAAACAAACACCTTAATGTAAGGTTCCAACCTTAATCAATAAATTTTGTACCGTACTTATTAAGTTAAACAACTAGAATACATCATTTTATACAATGAACTTATTAGGTCTAAACATGAACGAGAAACACGTACAATAACTTCCTTAATTTTTACGAAATATATTTTGTATTATCAAGACATTTTGCTCCAACCATATATATTTACAACTATAATTTAGTTTATTGTATTAATTACACGTTACTTTCCTAACATCTCTATTGCCTAATATCATAAAACGATTCTTGATATCAATATTATCACATAATAATGGCATGTTCCTTACATATCTACTGTAGTCTTCTTGGCAACTAGATCAGCTTTGGTACAGTTTTCAACTAAGAAGTTTTTTTTCAATTTGTACACCATTTGTGAAAGCAAAGGCCTTCGTTCTCAAGAATTCGTGAATCATTCACATTTCCTATATCGAAAAACCCATGGGTTTGAAATAATCCCAAATATTCGAGTTACGCGACCGAAATAAATTAATACTGTCAGATTTTCTTCAATGCTTTTTTATACTTTTGGAGACTGATTCACCATATTTTTCAAATAAGCCACAGACATTCCATGCGTTTTTGTTGGTGTGGGTGCTGGTGTTGTTGAGTCCAAGTTGCTATTATAGTTGCACTTTAACGTCTCTAGATAAGCGTATCTGGAACAATTTAGTTTTTGTGTCTTTATTTTTTATTAATATTGATTACTACTACATTTTCAATACAATTTCAAATGGCTTTTATTGATTGACGCATAACGTAAATGTTTATTGTTGCAAAAGGTGTCTAAACAAGAAATGTTTACAAACCTCAAAAGTCAAATTGCGTTGATGGAAATCCCTTATCTCTTTAGCACTTTCATTATCAAGAAATGTGGGCAAAAACCACAAAAATACATCATTTTCTGTTTCAGTGATGTTGCCATTGATATAAATAATTGGTGAAATAAACAGCGGTTTTGTTGAAAAACCCCGCTCAAATTATTTAAAAATATTTACCTGTACTGCTTATTCATCGTAACATAAACCACGGGATTGACGCAACTGGCCAAATAAATCAGCAAATAGCTCAAAACATGCAGTGGAGCATGTTCAACCCTCGTGTCGAATATCTTCACGATGGTAATCGGAAGATAGCAGACGACGAAGCAAATGAAGATCACCAGCACCATTTTGGTAATCTTCATTTCGCTTCGTTTAAATTTGCTGCCGTTGGAACTGTGTTGGGCCAGTCGTTTGTGAGACTGTCTCACCACCCAAAAGATGTTGGAATAGCACAAGACAATAATCACTGAAGGCAGTGCAAATCCTATGATGAAAAGGGCAGTTTTCGAAGATGATCCTGAAATTATCACAAAAACTGTTTAAGTATTGGATTAATGGAACGTGAGTGAGTTCATATGGACTCGGATATACATATACATAGTTTTTCGCTGATTTGTTTGACTGGTGAGTTTTGTGAGTTTTTAAGCCGCCGTGAAATAGATATTTTTGAGGTGGCAGCCACGACTTCCAAAATATTTTAACAGTGGCAGTAAACAAAGCAATTACTTTAGTTAGTTAACGAATTTAATTCGCCAGTGGTTACAGAATATATTCAATTGTGAAAACTTACCATTAGCATCTGGTTTAATTGAGCAAGTCCCCAATCTCTCATCCATTCCATACACGCCCCACTGTCCAAGCAAAGTGGGAACTTGTAAACCGTAACTGAATACCCAAATAAGTGAAATGTACAAAATCACTTTCGTTTTCGTGTAGATTTTTGCGTAGCATTGCGGCCAAGCAATTAGAATATACCTGCACCAAAGCAAAAACATTAAATCCAAGTGAATATATTTTTTAATTTAGGTACCTATTTATCGATATACTGGCTATACTGAGCAATGAAACCCCAATGGTTCCATATCTCAAGGTAGGAATCATCTTGCAAAGAACATCTCCATGAATCCACGTTCCATGGAAGAACTGGCTGGCGGAGAACGGCAGCACCAGGAAACAGAAGAGCAAATCTGACAAACAGAGGCTAAAACCGGGGAAGAAATTAGAGCCCTAATGAAAATCAGGTCATTAGCCTGGCCATGTAAAGTTCACTTAATGTTTCCATTTAACGAGGTATAAAGTGCAACGTTAAATGCAGGCAGTAAACAGGACGTAAAAATTACTTGGCGCCCACTAGAAAAGTAATTTTTTATTCTTCAAGTCGTTAACAAGAGCAGCAGAATTATGAGTTGATAATTCGACAGTAGTTAACTTAATAGGGTCAAATCCATTTTAGTAAGAAATTTGCCAATTGCAACGAACATTTTTATTACTCTATTGAGGCCAAAAGTGTTGGTTTTGTTAGTTAACTAAATAATTTCGCAACTTCCTTCCAGGTAAAATGTGCAAACCCGATTAAATATTTATATTCAAGATCAGATATCAAATTTCCAATCATAATGAAATATTGTCAGTGTGACTAATAATTTTCACCGCTTAATCATAGTGAATGGTCGAGAGTTGGCTCTTTAAGTAATCGTGCAAATATTCACCAACTATCAACCGGATGACCAATTCACCTGTAACCAGTCGGTGATCAACGCAAACAGATCAATTAGATCTGAATGTATGCAATGCCGCCTTAATGAAAGTTGTAAACATTCATAGCAGCACGGCCTTGAGTAAATTCCCGTGTTTTTTTCTTCTTGGTGAGTAAATTTACCTGGCAATGAAAGCAGCAGCCACTGTTCTGATTTTGGAATGTCGAAGAAGAGCCACTAGGGTGAGAAGATTGCCTAAGACACCCACTATCATGATGATCACTGTGAATGTCCCGGCCACTGTCATCATTGGCCGGGAATATCTGAAATAAAAAATAGTTTTTTAATTTTAAAAAATTTCGTCTTTTTGTTTAAAGCTCTTGTCTGCTCCCAAGATTGAAATCTACCTATTTCTTTAAAAGTATTTGCTTGTTGCTGAATTTTTGCTTAATAGTTTCTTCCCGTTTATATCGCATCTGTAGCATTTCCTATTTTTCTTGGAATGTCGCTTTATTCTACTCATGTATACATTCCGTTTGATTTCATTAACATTCGCTTAGGTTTTATTAGTTTTAATTAGACCACTGGCCTGTTTAGTTAAGACATATAATACAGATCTAATTTTACAATTCAGGCAGCAGCTGAAGACTATTTAGGACACAGAGGCGTTCGGGTATTTCAATTGATTTATTTAAAAGCCTGTGCCTTGTCCTTGATAGTAGCGAAGCGTGGATAAATAATCATTAAATAAGCAAACTAGTTATTTCAAAAGTTTTGAACCCTTGAAGAAGTGATCGAAAGGTGCTTCAAGAATCCAAACTTTTAAGTAGCTGGTTTCTCTCAGGCTCAAAATTTGCTACCAAACAAAAATAGATGTAACTTCCAACACCCTAATCCTGATTGAGTAATTTTTATCAGCGTGTTCATGATTAGGTTGGCTTCACGGGTGAATCATGCAAAGATACGCATCTTTATGTTACATACACTAACTTCCTAGTAAGTCCTTTAACGCCATTTAATCTGGAGTATTTATGGTTTACAAAAACGAAAACAACATATTTTATAGATGATAAATTGGAATACTTAAATTTGGCATCTGTACAGGGTGGCTCATCTTGGGCGGCTCGCAAAAGGAGGAACTGGTAGGCAAAAGCGAAAACTTGCGCAATCCTCAGAAAGCTCAAATGCTGAATACATTTTCAAATTGCAAAAAGTAAATGTAGTACTTCAATTGGCATTTTTTTCATACAAACGTGGTCCCGTTTACTATCGTCTTATCTGTTAAAGTGAATGTTGTGATGAAGCTTGTTACAACTTTCCTGGATTTGTATAGGTTGATTTATTTTGCTGCGTGCTTGGTACTTATCAGTACTAGATAGGTATCGATTTAGTGAGATGCAAAGGTGAGCAAACTATTGATGTTACTTCAGCTCCGATAGCCAAAGTGCGGCGACGGTAGTGCACAATTCAAAATTAGCTAACTCAGGTAAGCGATTTAACGAAAAAACTAGAATTCCGCTTAAGTTGCTTCTGCATTTAAAATGAACAATTTGCACCAATTTTAACGGCGAATGGTTGAAGTATTCTCTTTTTATTGCAATTTATCTGCCTCTGCAGAAAATACATTTTTTGAAAATTGCATATTTGAACTTTCCCCAGTTCTGAAGTTGATTCAAGTGTTCATTAGTACCTAATAGCTAGATCCAATTACATAATTTATGGCACCTAATAAAATGCGTAAGGTTGGTACCAGGGTTACTAACTGGATCTGATTGGGCCATGCGGTAGTAAAGCTTTAATAGTTCATTTTTTAACAACCGATCAAGTTTCGGGTTCATAACACGAAAATATGTACATACATAACAACTTTAACAATACCGATTATTATCATAGACATCTAATTACGTTAACTCACTTTCCAGGTACTTACTACCTTAATTTTGTGTAAAAGTACTCAGGTCTACGGAATGAAAACAGTAACTTCGCCTGATATACGTCACAAATTAAATTATCGTCTGTGACGGATCTGGATGCTCTAAATCAAACTTTAAAATATTTGCCTTGGAATAAGGAAGTTTATTTGGCGATCTAGAGGTTTCTTGCGTTAATGGTGATCCAGATTTTTGAGGTATTTCCATCTGATATGGCGCTTTCATTAAATTATTCAGAAATTATTTTCTGATCGTTTTATCACCAGGCACTAATCGTATGATTTTCATCAGATAAAATATTTATTCGTCAGCATCAAATTACCGCTGCAAGTATTTGAAGTGTTTTCGTAAACCCCAATTTTGCCTTATCTATGAACAATGCTCGGTTGTAAATTTTCAAGTAGATTTAACGTATAATGGGAGCTTTGCATTAATAAGTTCACGTAATATGAAATACGTATGCCACGTCCGAAAGGAGAAATAGTCGAATTCTTCTCCTAGTGTTACCTATTTGATTCAGTCTACTCCTTATTCTTCTGGCTATATTCTTTTAGAAAAATCATGAATTTGATTGCCCTCAAGTCTCCTCTCCCAGTATTTCGTGGACTGAAGGCAATTATTTCGAGTCCTTTATTACCAAACTTAAATGATGTTGAACAATGGTCTTGAACGCCACTGGAGCGCATCTTTTAATAAAGAAGCCGCGATCACATGCATCACAGATGTCTGCACACAATCAGACACTTTTTTACCAGAAGGCCTTACTAAACGCAAATAAATAACCACTCAAAAAAGAAGGTTTATGAACAAAAATTACAAAAAACATCTTAAGTAAAATTTACTGAAAAAAATGACCTGATTGAATATTTTCAACTAGAAAGCACATGTTTGGATAAAAGTATCTATTTATCATGAACCAACTGGAAGAAAAACGTTGATGAAGTTCCGTTACAAAGAGGAAATGCGTATTTAGTATTTCGTCACAAATAGTGTAAAAAAATTGATCAAATTTCATGCTGGGAAACATAGTGGGATCCCACATTTAAGGTTGTGGAACTTTCTTTGTGACCATTAGAAAACATTTATATCGCTTTCAACATGCACTCGGTGGAAATTCCAACATTGATCATTTCCTAGAAAAGCCGCAAATTGGGGCCATGAAATGGCACATTTTCAGTCGGAAATTAATGCTATTTTCTTGCACGGGTTGATTTGCTGTAAATTGAAGTTAATTATATAACAAACTACTGATGCAAATCGGCCTTCGTTGCAATTTCCGATAGGTTTGTATGTGTCATTTCAAATTGCTCTTACATAATTGGTGGAAATAAAACTGATTTCATTAGTGGGAAATTGCTGGAAAAACTGTTCTATTGATTGCATCCGATGTCACATAAATTCCCACTGTTTTGTATGTTTTTTACATTTTTATCGTTTTGAATATGTTTACCGAGCTTTTAATCTTGTAATGGAGTCCGTTGATCAGAATAGATTGCGAAAAAGATTGATTAGAAAAAAATTGTTGTACTAATTGTTTTAATAGTAGAAGCGTAGTTATCAAGGTTTATAAGGTTAATAAACAATATTTACATACAATAGTAAATCGAGCAAAGGCTGTAATCACAATGAACCAAATGATCAATTTTTGCTCGGATTGACCGCATTTGAAGCACTTACTTGATAGTCCAAAAATTGATAATAAAATTCTTGAAATTTAGATTTTTCCAAATGACGAATAATTAAAGTGGAAATCCAGACCTCTTCCATCCATCCTCTTCAAAATCCAATCCGATGTTAAGAAATTGCTCTTTTCTGTATACAAAATTTCAGTTAATGCTAAATATTAAGTAGTATACAAATTTGTTTGATTGATATTTAATGATCATTGATCTTAATAAAACTCCTTTCAAGTGTATTGGCACTTATTGTCGACTTAAAGCAAAAACGCTCCGTTCTGTTGGGTTCAAATCGGGCAACTGCGGAAGAAATTATAAATGTTGCATCGTTACAAATCAGAAAATATTTACTTGATCGGCTCATTGTGTTGCTGAAAATAAGGCATTCGAAAGCAGAGCGAAAAAGACCTCAATTAACCTTATCGCTCATAACTTCAATAGTCCCAAATCTCTAAGCAAAAAAATCTAATTTTCGAAATCTTGACCCTTTCAATCGATTTGTAGCTAAGCAAGCTTTATTATTCATAGAGTATTTATAGGGTGGTTATCTTTTATCAGTTTCCTTAAGTAGTTTTCGGCTTCGCTAACAACTTTGAGCGAATTCTTTTGGCATCTTTACATTCCTCAAAGTTCGCTGTATTGCTCCTCAAATTTTTAAGTGATTTGCTTTATTTCTGATCTGCGCGCTGGGCTATCGGCTTAAGTAATTCATTAATTGATTAGATTAATGTTAATTAATTGATTGTCACTATTTTACCGGAAGATTTTCATCGATGAGACCACTTCACGTAATTGAATGCTCATTTCTTAAGAAACTAAAGTAAAACTTTGCTTTGTCAGATCAAATATATTTTTTGAAGTTTTACAAAAGCAATTGATGAAAACCAATCTCGAATGTATTAACATGCGATTGGCTCATCAATCAGATGATAGTTAAATTAATGTCGTGGGTAAAGTTCTTTAAAAAGGTGTAAAATATTAAAAAATATACAGGGTGTTTCGTAAGTAGATGCATTCGTTGTAGGAGGTGAGAGTGCACGTAATTCTGGATATGTTTTTTTAATAGACCATATTCCGAAAACTCTTAGTCTCCGATCTACAGCGAGTTAAAGTATTAATTGAAAAAAATATTTTTTTATATTGCGGAAGCACTTGGAATACTTTAATTAAATGTTATGCACTTAAGCACTTAACAGCAATACAAGTTTTGGGATAAAAATTTTGTTTGTGTCTTTTCCAGTGGCGTGGGCACAGGCACATCTGGAGATAATTTTTAATAAAAAATGTTACCCCACTGATTTTTCTAAAAACAAATATAAGTGTCCAAGTTCCTGTTCAATTTGGAAAGGAAAAGGTCTCTTGACTTTTTTCTACAACGCCGTGCTTGAGTGAAAAAATTAAAATCGATTTATCGCCCAGCGTAATCGGGTTTTTCTTTCAAAAGTTGGATCTGCACTAGTTATGGTCACTGATTGAAAATAATAATAATTTCTCTCATTTCGAGTGTTTGAGAAACTTCTGTTTGCGTTTTTTTTTTGTAATAAAATTGATACAAGTGTACAATTTTTGTTTTTGTACTAAACCCTATTTAATTACAACCCGATTAAGCCATGCAATAAATCGATTTCAAGTTATTTACTGGAGAACGGGATGTCGTAGAAAAAAGTCAAGAGATATTTTCTCTTCCAAATTAAACAGGAATTTGAATCGTCAGATTTATTGCTTACAAAATCAGTGGCGTAACATATTTATTATTTAAAATTATCTACAGTCGTGCCTGTACCCACGCCACTGGAAATGCTAGAAACACAATTTTTATCCCAAAACATGTATTGCTCTTAAGTGCTTAAGTGCATAAAATTTAATTAAATTATTCCAAGTGCTTCCGCAATATAAAAAAAATCATTTTTTCAATTAATACTTTAACACGCTGTAGATCGGAGACTAATAGTTTTAGGAATATGGTCTATTAAAAAAATATATCACAAAACTAAGTCTATAGAATTTCGTTTAAATATCCCAAGCTGTTTCCTCCATAAATCTAACATTTTTAAAATTGAAACTTTATCACCCTGTAGATGGAAAACTAAGCGTTTTCGGGAAATGCATCTATTTACCAAACCCCTGTACTAAAGATATAAAAATAGGATAAATTTGAAATAATATTTTAGATTCATTGACATTCTATTCGCCCCAAATGACTACTACGATTACTTTATCGAATAAATATCCATAAACCAGCATAGAAAGGCATTAATTCGAAAGAACGCGACCAAGCGATTTGTGACAATTGAACACATTCCTGCATGATATCCATGGACGGGTTTAATTAGTTCACACTGCACTAATCAAACTATTTTAAAAAATACCTGTTAATGAAGCGGGAATGTTAGTTCTATTAGTGTACAGATAAGTATGACAAGTGTATTGTTATGAAACCAGCAAAAAGTACGTCAGTTGCAGTTTGAATAATTCGATGCAGAAATGTGCACAATTAAACACCAGCTAATGAATATTGATTGATTAGTAGAAGAGATTTTTTTAAATTTACCTGACGAGCTCCGAGAAGTGCGACCGGTTGATAGTGCCATCATCCATGTTTTGGCTCACGGAAAAGTCCAGGATTTGAATCTTTTTCGAAGCAAACACTAAAACTACCGGGTTTACGACACAAAAACCGCGTCCGATTCACCGACTGTTTCAGCAATGCACTTCATAAATCTTCCCGGAACGAGGGTGCTCCCTTTCAAGAGTAATCACCCACAGGATGGTCAAAAATTAACACTAATTGAAGCCAATAAAAAAGCTCATCGCTCGGGAAGCTCTTAGCTCTGTTAAACTACGGTAGTTGGAACGAGCCACAACACGGCAAATTGTCATTCTGTTTTCCATTGTACCGGGTACTCGAGTATCAGCGTTTTGTTAAATGAGGAATTAGTCATGTGTATAGTCATTTTGTTATTATTCATCGCCTCTTAACCAGAATCGTTACAATGATCGTCGATGGCTTCTCATCCGGGGCATTTAGCGTTTTCTTAATGTTAATTACGCTTATGGGGGGCTATTAGGAAATTAATATTCTTATAGTAAACTGTCTTCTATATCGGATCATGCTTATTGATCTAATGTAAACAAACATTCACTTCCTATTTAGTTTTTCATTATCGGTATTAAATGGCTATGTTTGTGTCGCTTATTTTAATATGGATGGGCGGAATTAGATAATGGTGTCATCAAAATCAGCCACGGTATTAATATGTCCGCTACCTACAACGAATGAACCATTTTCGCGCTCACGCAGTAATTATTAATACCGTGCAAAACACTCTGTATATTTTTACATCATGTTGTAGTCAACGGTGTTTCAATGTTATCGGTCAATAATTACTAATAATAATGCTTTATGCTCGGGGCATAATTGTTAAAATTGCACACTAAACTTGAGTATAACATTGCAATCATGTACTTTTTTTACAAAACTACAAGTTTGATTGTATCAGATAAATTTCATCGAACCTAAAATTTCAGTGAACAATATTCATTTTTTAAAATTTATCATGAATGAAGCAGAATGAAATTTCCAGTGCAGAATGGCGTGGTCCATGTTCTTTGTCAGATGATAGACAGATTATTTTTTGGGACACTGAATCTCTATCACATTTAGCACAACAAATGAAATCGTTCCCAAACCCAATATAGAGTTTAATTCAAATAACCAAAACATTAATGTGCGGACTAAATTGTTCCTATATCCAAGTAGCCATCAAACAATAAACACTTTTTCAAATTGTTAGATAAATAGTTAAAAGTTATATGTAATTCGTTTGTTAGTTGTTCTTACTTTATTTTCATTTTTTCCTGCCTTATTTCCGAATCGAGCTTAATTTGCTTGCAGTCTGCAACGATCTGTTTGTTTTTTTTTAGTTTGGTGTACTTTGAACTCTTTTACATGAAGCACATTTTCTCAATTTAGTCATCTTTATCTTTCTGTTGAGTAGCATTCACTTCCAATTTTTTTATTTGTTCTTGTCTTTTCTGCCCTTAAGTAGAATTAACTTTTTGTTTATCAATTGGAAAACTTACGTCCAAAAATATTTGATATTAAATGGCTTCGATTTTGTACTTGGTAGATAAGAAACAATAAAAATCTATAAACTTCCGCTATGAATTTTTATTCACTATTCATTGCAGTCATTTCTTTTCCTGATCCTTAAAAGTTTGGCTTCTGAAGCCTATAAAATACTTTCCAAAAGTGTCAATTATCCATATTCTCATTTCGGGTGTTAGCAACTCACTCCTACCTAAGCGAAGACCTTTTCAAGAGGTTTCAATTAAACAAGTAACAAAACAAGATTTTTATTATATTTTTCTTTCCTGAGTTTCAGTCAAAATGTGAAATAAAAATGTTCAAATCGTTAATTTCATATTACGTTTCGGAGGGACAACAGCGCCATCATCAGATTTAAAATTCAAAACAAAATACAAAGACCAATTCACAATTAAAACATGTACAAAATCTATAATTTATAAAGCATTAAAACATCCATTAGTTCTTAAGGATTTTTTTTTCTTTGGGAGAGCAAAACATTTGAAAAAACTTACTCCATTATTGGGAAACATTAGATTCCTTTGTTTGTTTTGCTCTCCCAAATATTTTTTTTCTTTAAGAACTATTGGATGCTTTAATGCTTTGTAAATTATAGTTTTTGTAGCTACAACACATTTTAATTGTAAATTGGTGCTTGTAGTTTGTTTTGAATTTTAAATCTGATGATGGCGCGGTTGTCTCGCCGAAACGTAATATGAAATAAACGATATGAACATTTTTATTTCAAATTTTGACTGAAACCCAGGAAAGGTAAACTATAATAAGAATTACACGCAATCAAGAAAAAAAACTTTGCGCTATCGGAAGGTACTTTTTAATAATTTTTTTTGGCTCAAAATCTTGCTTCATGAGACAAGTTTAAGGTTTGTATCTTAGTTTCCAATTGACGAAACCAGAATGTTGCCATCAATCCAATTTGGTTCAGGATGTTAATAAATATTTCCGAAATACGGTTCCTACTTGAAACTTGAAGTAGTTTTTCTTTCTAAATATAAAAATCTGTGTCCCGTTTTTTAAAAATGTCTTTACAATTCTCCTGTTAGCAATTTGAAAGCGTTTAGCTATTTTTCAACTATTCCATGCTATAGAGGGTGTTCAAAATATGTTTTTTAAACAAACTGTTTAACGTACATGGTTTACACTTTATAACTTTTACAATAAATTTTTTTCTCCTCTTTTCTTTGCTGATCAAGAGTATTACGTATTGACATTAAATTACCAAATAATATAAACTTTTCCCATCAGAATTTCCAACTTTTACGCGTAAGTAGAACAAAATATTTACATTTACACCACAACTGACCAAGTCGAACCTTATTATAATCTTCAAATGTTTCGTTATCGCTAACATGTGTAGCCGCTAATTATGTCAATAGATCAAGTGACTCTATTTTGGGTTTTGTTCCATTAAGGTATTACAACTGGGTAACAGATATGAGTAAGGGGTTTATATCAAAACAAAAAAAAAATACAAATGAAAAAAATATAAACTAGGCCTTGAACTGAACATTTGCTGTGATCGTGTTTTTTACGGTGTCATGTGAAATTAAGTAATCGACAATTGAAAACAAGACCGCTGGTTTACTGGAAGCTGGTTAAATAAAAAAATTAATGAAAAATGATATCATTTTAATTTAACTCAGTTAAAATAGGCAAAAGATTACGAAAAACTATATTAGGAAGCTGTAATGATTCTGCACATATTGTTTCTTAGTCAAATCTAAATTGATCTTTGATCTCATATTCCCAACGGACTTTTGCAGGACGCAAATGGTTTAAGCGCTACCACATACACCACTAAAACCGCATTATCCAATACAAATGTTATTTCATTCGAAGGAAGTGCGTTGATAAAGAAAATAGCATGAGTATTTATGGTGAACGCTCAAAATGCATCACGTCTTTTGCTAAATGAGTCTGTGAATTTCCAACAAAAATAAAAAGTTACAAGGAACTCAGAAAGAAATTTGAATAATAAATATTTAAAATAATCGCAAACTTCCCGAAACTTGGTGATTTCATTAAGCACGTTGAAGTGTAAATATTGCAAATTGTATTGACTTGGATAAATGATAAACCATGTTTATTTTATAAATGATTTTCCACTTACAAAACAGCCATCATGCTTCAAGAATGGGCGCACTCAATTGAGCCAGTACCTATGCTAAAAACTACAAAAAAAATCACCACTAACCACTAAAACTCGCGTATTTATCTTGAATATTTCGACACTGTTCTCCGAAAAGCCGGTATATGACAAAACCGCAGTGAGTTTAACGTAACTTTTCAAGCTTCCTATATCTTTTATCTATAAGATAAGCCCTAATTTAACATACGATTTTAACTGGTTTAAAGCACAATGTAAGGAAATAGTTTTACTTCTAGTGCCTTATCAGATGCCACAGACATTAGAAGAGAACAATTTTGGATTATTTACGAGCACAGAGTTTACGACTTTAGGGCATTAATACGGCACTGCAGTGGCGCACACTAGAACCCAACTGCAAACCGAAAATTACTAATCAGGCGTAAATGGCCCCCTTTTCAATTAAAATCGACTGGAAATAGCACAAATAGGTCTTATCGGTTCAGTTTGCTTTGAATTAATAATATCGAGAAACACAAATATTATTTGTGTCAGTTTCGTGTCGTAAAATTGGTGAGATTTAAGGGAAATCAATCAAGCAAGTGATCTTTTCATCGATTTAAGACCAACAATATGGATTATATTGGAGTTTCTAAAGGCTAAATCATACCTAAACTTTTCAGTTATTGTGCCAAAATTCAACCTGTTTCAATTTCATTCAATAGATAAGCTCTATCTACTAACAGTGCAGGAAATATAAGTGTTTAATGTGTAATAAGTTTGGAGAATATTCATGGGTGACTCACATATATCTTACCTCATAAGTTCCAAAACAGGCGGCATGCTATCTTGAGGTACGTCTGAAAAAAATATGTCCGACATAATATTATTTGCTATTATTCCACTTTACTTTTTTCACTACTCTTCCACCAAGCTAAAAATTCAATAAAATCGCAGAAAGGTGCCGAAGAAATTGGAACTTGGAAACTTCTGTCCATTTTAAGTGAGTAGATTCAGAATTTGAATAAAGGGACGAATTGGAATTGAAATCGACGATTTGAAAAATTGCCAATTGCTTCAGAGTTCAATTAATTTTTTGCGACATTAGTCCTTGGTCACGCGAGAATAGAAGTCATTTTTAGCATTTAGAACTTTTACTTTTGATGAGCTTTTTGTTGTTGATATATCAGGAAATGCATATTTCAAATTCAGAGATCTGGAAAACTGCTGCTCAAATCAAATGTTAGAAAATCTACTTTTTTAGTAAAAGTTTTGAACTTTTGACGCTCTGTATTTCCGAAATCATCAACTTTCTGACTAAACCGAGTCCGGTTACCTACTGTTTCAGTCCAAGATCATTTTTTCCGCACCTTCCCGGAATACCCTGTATAATATGTGTATGAGAGAAGGTTGGACTCGATGACTTAAGCATTGACATTGAATTAATGTATTCCAGGAAATAATTTACGTGTTATTGTGAAGAAACGCGAATAAAAAATTTATCGTTTTCAAACTAAGAGTAACATTAATAATTTTTAATTGAAATTCGGGCTGTTTTCCAGCTAAATCCATCTTAAAATAATTGTTCTGATTTTCAAAATAAAACAACTTCGTTAGAAATAAAGTTACAATAGCCACAAAAGTAAAATAAAAATTTTCGTACAAATTGCAAAAAAAATCCTATTTTATTCAAATTCGTTTAAATAAAAAAATGTTTTTAATTATTTTAGGCCCTGTAGGTGGACAACGCACAACTTTTGGACTGAGATAAAGTTGGTTAAATCACCTAAGAAATCCGCTTCTATTTGGACAATTTCGCTTGAGACACCATGTATAACCGACATTTTTACTTTCTATTGGATTTCACTTCCAGAGCTTTTTATTCAGCCCATCAACATTGGTAAAACGCCGTTCAACTAAGTAAATTTAACCAAAAAACTCATCATTCAATCATTAGCGCAACTGCACTAATTGCTACTTGAAAATGACGATGTAAACTTAAATGTGTTTCTAATACTTTCCAACGTTCGTAAGTTAGTTAATTAAGGTGTACTGGATTATTATCTGTTCTAGACATGACAGAAGTGTTTGTTTTAATTGCTCGCTCTGTTCTTTAAATAGTTTTCCATAAAAAAACGGTTTTTAGTGGCTGAAGCAAGCCGCAAGTGTTCACAGAAATAGGGCTTGAAAACGCTGATAAAAATTTCAAACAATCCAAAAAAAATGCATCTTTGGAACCGCTTTAAATTACGGTTTTTCTAGTCCTTAGTCTAGTCTTTAGTCATCTAACGTGGTATTTTTTAATCGGCCAAATTCCAATACTTTTTGAATAATCCGAGCCTATGTAAACTACACAAAAACAAAAAAAAACCCCAATTTAAGGTAATGGAATGGTAACTAAAATATATAAAAAAAATGTAAACTCACCCCTTAAAATCCTTCGCGGCACTTCACTTCACTATTTACTGAAAGAATCTCTTCATAAACCAAGCACTTTGCCACACCAAATAATTATCGCTGTCACCCGACTAGAAGAATGACCAGTTAGCGATAAAACCTACGAGGGTTTTGTCACAGTCCAGCACGAAAACAAGGGCGTACAAATATTATCGCTGAATTTACGAAAGGCTGTAATGAGGAAAATCAACAATTTTTATGCAAAGAGCAAACACACTTAGTTAGCATCGACTACATTTAGACTGATTCGATATCATGCTTATTCGTGACGCAATTTTATCAGCTGCAAACTGTTTTTTTTCCTGTTGTGTTCCCTAGAAAGTACGTTCTTTGATATTGCAGAAAAGGTGACAACATTATCGGAATATCGAGGATTTCGTGCAATATGCATCAATTTAATGTTGGAAGGATATTAAATATGTTAACGTGCATACACTTTAAGCCATTTGTGTGGAAATGATACCACCTGGCGAGATAAAATTGTAAAAAAAACAAAATCATATCGATTCGAGTGCAATCAGTTTGTAATCTAATACATAGGCAATTGTTATTCTATTATCAATATGAAAATAGCATCATGATGGGAAGGTTTAATTGGATTTTTAATTTCTGTGTTCCCAATATATCCGATTATTATACTATTGACAATAAAATTGAGTGCAATTTTTATGATTTTCTTGAGTGAGATGATGAAATGAGACAACAGCGCCATCATCAGATTTAAATTTTACACAAACTACAAACATCAATTCACAATTAAAACATGTTGTATAAAAACTATAATTGTTTGTAAGCGTTAAAACATCACTTCTTGAGGGAAAAAATCCTTCCCTTTGGGAGATAAATAATACAAAAATAATGGAGTAAGTTTTCTCAAATGTTTGGGTCTACCAAGAAAATCCTTAAGAACTAATGGATTTTTTAATACTTTGTAAATTATAGTTTTTGTACATGTTTTAATTGTGAATTGATGTTTGTAGTTTGTGTAAAATTTAAATCTGATGATGGCGCTGTTGTCTCGCCAAACCGTAATGAAATAAACCATAATCAAAATTTTTACTTCACACTTTGACTGAGACCCAGGAAAGATAAGAATATAATAAAAATTGTACAAATGGCATAAAACAAGTTAAATAGAAATCCACTTTTAAGAGGCGCATTAAATGTAAAGATCTTTTCTGTTCCCGGCGTCGACTTATAATCGTCTTCAAAGGTGATAAAACACGAAAGCACTATTTAGACAAGATTAAAAACAATCATTTCAAAAAAACAATTCTATAAGTGCTTATCTTCGGTGTCATTTATTTAATTCATTTGCCTACGAACCGTACTATTGATATGCGGATTAAAAGCCACTGCAGGTAAATATTTAAAAAGAAACCATTGAATGCTCTTTAAAATCACTATGACATTGGTGAAAATTAGCAAGAAAGCAGTAAGTGATAAATTAATTGTTTAACATGTTATTTAATAATGGGAGGAAAATGGGTTCCACGTATCGAGGAAATGAAAATTTTAAAGTCTTTCTATTTTTTATGATTTTTCTTTTGTAAACTGCATCAAAGTAAGATACCTATTTATTTAATTAACCAAAATCCTCTTCAATCCTTTTGAGACTGTTTTCAGTTATCTTTCCTTCATGTTTTTGCATGGCCATGAAAATATTCAAAATCCTGAAATGCTCACCTTTAGAACTATTTTCGCTTTCTCAAATCTACCTTACCTTACTTTAAAATGTGTGCCAAATATGGCTGTCTTCCATTTTCAGTACGAAGATGATTCCTGAAAACAGCGCTTGTTGATGTGTTTTATGCCCTTTTATTTTGGTTTATTTACTGATTTTTTATTTCTCCTCTCCATTTCTGTTTCTGTACTTGAAATAAATTAATCTGGAGCAGGTTTGTGAATGCAATTAATGCGCAATTTATTTTCGCAAGGATTTTTTACTTTTCCAACCATCTTTCATATACAAGCGTTTCACAAATTCCCTGGATACCTTTTCAGTTATTTTTTAGGTGTGATGTTCAACTTTTAACAATTTTTGAGTGAACCTGAATAAGAGAGTTTCTCCGGAAAACGTTGATAACCCAAAAACCGCAAAAAAGGTTCAAGTAGTCAATAAGATATAAATTAAAATTACATTCAAACAACTGATAAAAATAATCGGCACTTAAAGCAGACATATAAATAACACGAGTTATATTTTACAAGTTAAAGATTTCATCACAATATTCAAACTTCCTGTATTTTTTCTGGCACTCCCAGTAGAAATTTTATGCATTTACTTTTTGAGTCGTTGGACTTTTAAACATATGTTTTTCCCATAAATCAGCCGTTACTGATAAATTTTCCGTGTGTATTGTGAATTTGTCACATGCAAGTAAGTTATCGTTGTTGAAAATATTGCAGTTTCCCCCAACATTGTCGGGCACTGGTTATATTTAGGTATTTATAAACTTTGCAATTTACTGCAATAAACTGTGTTTTAGCGATGTGCGAATTATTGCGCTACTAGAAGAATTTAAACTTTCTAATTTTCCAGGCATAATGTTGGGTCCATTGGGGCGGTTTCTAAAGTTTCCATTTTTCGTGCGCTTACTGCTGGTGCTTTTGGTCTTACAACTTACATTCTACTTTTCGACTCGAAAATATGCTTTGAAAACAAGGATGAAGTCAGTGGCCCAAACCCAAACTCACATATTGAATGTAAGTTTCCATCATTAACGTCCTGCAAATTTGTGAAAAGTGCACATTTTCTCAATTTTTCCAGAAAACAATGGTCATTCCTGCCCTTGCCAGCGAAGGGTCCTGGCAAACAGTCGTTCCAGAAAATTCGCAGTAAGTAAGTACCTACTACAAAAATATTACTTGATCCACAAAATGATTATCTACTTACGTACCATAAGCGTTGTTGCAGGCACAAATATTTAGTTTTTTCTGCGTTTTTGGATGTAAGAAATGGAAGGTCTATTCGAATAATAGCGGTGACTAAAACCAGCACTAGAAAAAAAGGACTGGTGAAACCCTGGTGCAAATTGTGGTATGAAACTCCAGAAAGTGGGCTAAATTCGAAGCTAGTGGAAGGCGAACTTAAGGTAACCGGCTATTTAATAACCGTCTTATTTCAAGGTGTCGAAATAAATCCCACTTTAGATAATCCAAGAACACTGGCAACTACCATACAGTCCATACTACGTCACTTGCCCTTTATCAGAAAATGAGTCAATTCCATTGATGGTAAGCTTGCTCAATGACCCCGCGGAAGAGCCCTTGAATATGCTAAAGGTGATTTCAAATTATCCCGAAGGAAAAAAATGGGACGCTAACGAGTTAGAGCCGGATGTAAAGAAGATGGCTGTCTGCGTTAAGCCTCTTCACTACGACTACAACAAGGTAAGAAAACGGGCATCTTACCAGCGCACCTTTCAATGTGAGCTGTTCCAGGAGCTCGAGTTTCTAGAGTTTATAGAACTGCATCGCATAATGGGCGCCGATCACTTCATTCTATACAATCACACTGTGGGTCCTCAAGTCAACTGTTTATTGAAAAAGTATCAACAGCAAGGCATTGTAACAGTTCTGCCTTGGGAGCTCCCAATACAATCACAAAAGGACATTAGGACTGAGGGAATTTTCGCTTCGCTCAACGACTGTTTGTTCCGAACGATGTACAAATTCTCGCACGTAATTTTCTTGGATTTTGATGAATTCATCATTCCAACCAACCACTACAACTACAGGGAGCTTTTTCGGTAAGCTTTGAAGTCGGCGATTTTAGTAGTCCTGTTGCAAAGATCAAGTTTTCAGGTACCTGCATGAAAAGTACAACAACAAAAAGACCAGTTGGTTCTCCTTTAAAAACGCGTTTTTCTATCGCCAATGGCCAGACGATCCAGCCGTCCAAGAGTTTGAGGATCCGCTTGAAAAACAACTGCTAGCTCTCAGGAAAACTACCAGAATGGTCAAGCTGCATGCACATGGAACCCGATCGAAACTGATTGTAAGGCCCGACTTGGTGGATATGGTGGGAAACCATATCATATGGGCTTATTATAATCATAAAGTTTTTCGTAAGTAAGAAAGAAAAGATGGTAAATGTGTTGCAATTTTTTAAACTTTCTGTAGGCAAAATGGACGTTGCGCCTGAAGATGCTATTTTGCATCATTACAGGATTTGCGAATTTGGTGGCAATGACTGTGTAAAACATCCATCCACTGTGGATAGAAGTGCATACCGATACAGAGACGCACTTTTAAAGGCGGTGAAAACTCGACATGAGGATCATTTCGATGAATGCCAGTTATCGAAAATTGAAGGCAGCAAATATCCAAGCTAGAAGCTGGAAGTTTGACTAGATTAATAGTCTTTTATAGGGTTTTTATTAAACCCATCTGGGTTTCAAAGGAAGAATTTCATTATTTTTAGTTGCCTCTTGTAAATAATTCAGCTAGCAACTTCAAAACTTTGGTCACCAGATTAAGTATGGAAAGAATCTTTTGCAGTTGTTTTATTTATAGTTGTAATTTAATCATAAATTATATTTTTTATATTGTTTAGGAGATTGCTTGAATGCGAATAAAATATGTTGACTCAAATGTATGTCTATTCATTTCACATCACATTTCCGATTGCTCCTTCAATTTTTTCCTTCTGAGGACTAACGGCACAAAAATACTTTTAATAAGACAGTATAAGAACAGCAATTCAACATTAAAAAGTGTCCGCTTTTAAAACTGTTTATTATCTGCCGACGAAATTTCCCAACGAAAATACGAATTCAAAGCAATGGTTTTTTTGAAGCGCTGCTGTCTTCAATGCTTTTTGCCAATTTAGTTCCTTTCATTATTTTTTTACTTCTCCTTCTATATTTTTTTCTCTTAAAAAAAGTTTTCCCGAAGCAGTTTTACCTTTCGTAGACACACAAGTGTGAAACAAGAAAAACCGTTCAATAGACTAACTAGAATTTTGATTTATTTTCCTGACTGCGTCTACTTGTTATGATAATCTTATCTTTCCTGGGTGTCAGTCAAAGTGTGAAGTAAAAATTTTTAATATCGTTTATTTCATTACGTTTCGGCGAGACCTCAAATTACCTCATTTTTACCAATCATGAGTTTGTGTAAATTTTAAATCTGATGATGGCGCTGTTGTCTCGCCGAAACGTAATGAAATAAACGATATTCAAAATTTTTACTTCACACTTTGACTGAGACCCAGGAAAGATAAGAGTATCATAACTTGCGGTTAATGCTTTATAGATTCGCTTTTAATGCTTAATCAATTCGCTATTATATCTTATAAGATTGATATGCAATTAAAACTAAGCAAAATGACACGAGGACTTTATATATTTCACTATTAAGCATTTGATAATAATATTTTAGCAGACACATTTATTTCAGTGTAGTCGGTATACTTAAAAGAGTATATTGGACCCTAGCATTAACCATGAACACCAAATTTCATAATAATGCAATCCACCTTCACAGTAATCCCAGATAGCACAAAATATTACATACATATTTAGGAAATATTTATATGTTTGCTAAATATTTCAGATCAAAAGCAAGTATTTCTTAAATATTATTTTT